GTGATGATGTTAGTGATGATGTGATGATGATGATGTTACTACCAGCAGGAAATCCCATGACACTGAATATTCGGTCCAGCTGGTCGTGGTGGTACGGGTTGTGATGGTGGTGGTGATGTGATGATGTTAGTGATGATGTTAGTGATGATGTGATGATGATGATGTTACTACCAGCAGGAAAGCCCATGACACTGAATATTCGGTCCAGCTGGTCGTGGTGGTACGGGTTGTGATGGTGGTGGTGATGTGATGATGTTAGTGATGATGTTAGTGATGATGTGATGATGATGATGATGTTACTACCAGCAGGAAATCCCATGACACTGAATATTCGGTCCAGCTGGTCGTGGTGGTACGGGTTGTGGTGGTGGTGGTGATGTGATGATGTTAGTGATGATGTTAGTGATGATGTGATGATGATGATGTTACTACCAGCAGGAAATCCCATGACACTGAATATTCGGTCCAGCTGGTCGTGGTGGTACGGGTTGTGATGGTGGTGGTGATGTGATGATGTTAGTGATGATGTTAGTGATGATGTGATGATGATGATGTTACTACCAGCAGGAAAGCCCATGACACTGAATATGCGGTCCAGCTGGTCGTGGTGGTACGGGTTGTGGTGGTGATGGTGATGTGGTGATGGTGATGATGTGATGATGATGTTAGTGATGATGTGGTGATGATGGTGATGTTAGTGATGATGATGGTACCAGCAGGAATGCCCATGACACTGAATATGCGGTCCAGCTGGTCGTGGTGGTACGGGTTGTGATGATGGTGATGATGTTAGTGATGATGATGTTAGTGATGATGATGTTACCAGCAGGAAAGCCCATGACACTGAATATGCGGTCCAGCTGGTCGTGGTGGTACGGGTTGTGATGATGGTGATGATGTTAGTGATGATGATGTTAGTGATGATGTTAGTGATGATGATGTTAGTGATGATGATGTTACCAGCAGGAAATCCCATGACACTGAATATGCGGTCCAGCTGGTCGTGGTGGTACGGGTTGTGATGGTGGTGATGATGTGATGTTAGTGATGATGTTGATGATGATGATGATGTTAGTGATGATGATGTTACTACCAGCAGGAAAGCCCATGACACTGAAAATGCGGTCCAGCTGGTCGTGGTGGTACGGGTTGTGGTGGTGATGATGTGATGTTAGTGATGATGATGATGTTAGTGATGATGTTAGTGATGATGATGATGTTAGTGATGATGTTACTACCAGCAGGAAAGCCCATGACACTGAAAATGCGGTCCAGCTGGTCGTGGTGGTACGGGTTGTGGTGGTGATGGTGATGATGATGTTAGTGATGATGTTAGTGATGATGATGTGATGATGATGATGTGGCTACCAGCAGGAAAGCCCATGACACTGAAAATGCGGTCCAGCTGGTCGTGGTGGTACGGGTTGTGGTGGTGGTGATGTGGTGATGGTGATGTTAGTGATGATGATGATGTTACCAGCAGGAAAGCCCATGACACTGAATATGCGGTCCAGCTGGTCGTGGTGGTACGGGTTGTGGTGGTGATGATGTTAGTGATGATGTGATGATGGTGATGTGATGATGATGTGATGATGTTAGTGATGATGATGTTACTACCAGCAGGAAAGCCCATGACACTGAATATGCGGTCCAGCTGGTCGTGGTGGTACGGGTTGTGGTGGTGATGATGTTAGTGATGATGTGATGATGTTAGTGATGATGATGATGATGTTAGTGATGATGATGTTACCTGCAGGAAAGCCCATGACACTGAATATTCGGTCCAGCTGGTCGTGGTGGTACGGGTTGTGGTGATGATGTTAGTGATGATGATGTTAGTGATGATGATGTTAGTGATGATGATGATGATGTTACTACCAGCAGGAAAGCCCATGACACTGAATATGCGGTCCAGCTGGTCGTGGTGGTACGGGTTGTGGTGGTGATGGTGATGATGATGTTAGTGATGATGTTAGTGATGATGATGTGATGATGATGATGTGGCTACCAGCAGGAAAGCCCATGACACTGAAAATGCGGTCCAGCTGGTCGTGGTGGTACGGGTTGTGGTGGTGGTGATGTGGTGATGGTGATGTTAGTGATGATGATGATGTTACCAGCAGGAAAGCCCATGACACTGAATATGCGGTCCAGCTGGTCGTGGTGGTACGGGTTGTGATGGTGATGATGTGATGATGATGATGTGATGATGTTAGTGATGATGATGATGATGATGTTAGTGATGATGTTAGTGATGATGTTACTACCAGCAGGAAATCCCATGACACTGAATATGCGGTCCAGCTGGTCGTGGTGGTACGGGTTGTGGTGGTGATGATGTGGTGATGATGGTGATGTTAGTGATGATGTTAGTGATGATGATGATGTTACTACCTGCAGGAAAGCCCATGACACTGAAGATGCGGTCCAGCTGGTCGTGGTGGTACGGGTTGTGGTGGTGATGATGTGATGATGATGTTAGTGATGATGTTAGTGATGATGATGTTACCTGCAGGAAAGCCCATGACACTGAATATTCGGTCCAGCTGGTCGTGGTGGTACGGGTTGTGGTGGTGATGGTGATGTGATGTTAGTGATGATGTGATGATGTTAGTGATGATGTTACCTGCAGGAAAGCCCATGACACTGAAGATGCGGTCCAGCTGGTCGTGGTGGTACGGGTTGTGGTGGTGATGATGTGGTGATGATGGTGATGTTAGTGATGATGTTAGTGATGATGATGATGTTACTACCTGCAGGAAAGCCCATGACACTGAAGATGCGGTCCAGCTGGTCGTGGTGGTACGGGTTGTGGTGGTGATGATGTGATGATGATGTTAGTGATGATGTTAGTGATGATGATGTTACCTGCAGGAAAGCCCATGACACTGAATATTCGGTCCAGCTGGTCGTGGTGGTATGGGTTGTGGTGGTGATGGTGATGTGATGTTAGTGATGATGTGATGATGTTAGTGATGATGTTACCTGCAGGAAAGCCCATGACACTGAAGATGCGGTCCAGCTGGTCGTGGTGGTACGGGTTGTGGTGGTGATGATGTGGTGATGATGGTGATGTTAGTGATGATGTTAGTGATGATGATGATGTTACTACCTGCAGGAAAGCCCATGACACTGAAGATGCGGTCCAGCTGGTCGTGGTGGTACGGGTTGTGGTGGTGATGATGTGATGATGATGTTAGTGATGATGTTAGTGATGATGATGTTACCTGCAGGAAAGCCCATGACACTGAATATTCGGTCCAGCTGGTCGTGGTGGTACGGGTTGTGGTGGTGATGGTGATGTGATGTTAGTGATGATGTGATGATGTTAGTGATGATGTTACCTGCAGGAAAGCCCATGACACTGAAGATGCGGTCCAGCTGGTCGTGGTGGTACGGGTTGTGGTGGTGGTGATGTGGTGATGTTAGTGATGATGCTACTACCTGCAGGAAATCCCATGACACTGAAGATGCGGTCCAGCTGGTCGTGGTGGTACGGGTTGTGATGATGTTAGTGATGATGTTAGTGATGATGCTACTACCTGCAGGAAATCCCATGACACTGAAGATGCGGTCCAGCTGGTCGTGGTGGTACGGGTTGTGATGGTGGTGATGTGGTGATGTTAGTGATGATGCTACTACCTGCAGGAAATCCCATGACACTGAAGATGCGGTCCAGCTGGTCGTGGTGGTACGGGTTGTGGTGGTGATGATGTTAGTGATGATGATGTTACTACCAGCAGGAAATCCCATGACACTGAAGATGCGGTCCAGCTGGTCGTGGTGGTACGGGTTGTGGTGGTGATGGTGATGTGATGTTAGTGATGATGTGATGATGTTAGTGATGATGTTACCTGCAGGAAAGCCCATGACACTGAAGATGCGGTCCAGCTGGTCGTGGTGGTACGGGTTGTGGTGGTGGTGATGTGGTGATGTTAGTGATGATGCTACTACCTGCAGGAAATCCCATGACACTGAAGATGCGGTCCAGCTGGTCGTGGTGGTACGGGTTGTGGTGGTGGTGATGTGGTGATGTTAGTGATGATGCTACTACCTGCAGGAAATCCCATGACACTGAAGATGCGGTCCAGCTGGTCGTGGTGGTACGGGTTGTGATGATGTTAGTGATGATGTTAGTGATGATGCTACTACCTGCAGGAAATCCCATGACACTGAAGATGCGGTCCAGCTGGTCGTGGTGGTACGGGTTGTGATGGTGGTGATGTGGTGATGTTGATGATGATGTTAATGATGATGATGATGTTAGTGATGATGTGATGATGATGATGATGTTAGTGATGATGATGTTACTACCAGCAGGAAAGCCCATGACACTGAAGATGCGGTCCAGCTGGTCGTGGTGGTACGGGTTGTGGTGGTGGTGGTGATGTGATGTTAGTGATGATGTTAGTGATGATGATGTTAGTGATGATGATGTTACCAGCAGGAAAGCCCATGACACTGAAGATGTGGTCCAGCTGGTCGTGGTGGTACGGGTTGTGATGTTGATGATGTGGTGATGATGATGGTGTTAGTGATGATGATGTTACCAGCAGGAAAGCCCATGACACTGAATATTCGGTCCAGCTGGTCGTGGTGGTACGGGTTGTGGTGGTGATGATGTTAGTGATGATGTTAGTGATGATGATGATGATGTTAGTGATGATGATGTTACTACCTGCAGGAAAGCCCATGACACTGAAGATGCGGTCCAGCTGGTTGTGGTGGTACGGGTTGTGGTGGTGGTGATGTGGTGGTGGTGATGATGTTAGTGATGATGTTACTACCTGCAGGAAAGCCCATGACACTGAAGATGCGGTCCAGCTGGTCGTGGTGGTACGGGTTGTGGTGGTGATGATGTTGATGATGATGTTAGTGATGATGATGTTACTACCTGCAGGGAATCCCATGACACTGAAGATGCGGTCCAGCTGGTCGTGGTGGTACGGGTTGTGGTGGTGATGATGTGATGATGATGTTAGTGATGATGATGTTACTACCTGCAGGGAATCCCATGACACTGAAGATGCGGTCCAGCTGGTCGTGGTGGTACGGGTTGCTCGTTTTGATGTCCTCCTGGCGGCAGTGGAAGATCGGCTCGGAGGTGAGCAGCTCAGCAAAGATGCAGCCAATAGCCC